ATTATATTATTATTTTTTATGATTATTTATTAAATTATAATTTATGATTTTGTGTTTCAAATTTTATCATACCCGGGATGTTTAATAGACTCTTGTTCGGACAGATTTCAGTGAGTTATTCCTAAAAATTACAGGCTACAATAAAAAAACTACATATTTCCATGCAAAATAATGGTACCGCTTTCAGCACCAAAAATCTGAAATAATCATACCGCTAGGGAGGTAATGAGTAAGTTCACCTTTTCATGAAAAATGAAAAGGTGAACTAACTTCAAATATCCTGGCCATCCGTTCAGACTGTTATGCTGCCGGTTTGTACACTATACACCACCCCCGGAGGGACTATCTTTCATAATGCTTGCGATCGTAAATGCTTACTGGTTGGGGCAGCCACCTGACCATGCTGACTAATGAGAAGTGCATCTAAAGCTTCTATTTCTGGTAAGGTGTCCCAGAAGAAAGACGTACTTCTCATTGGTCACTTGCCCACATTATGATGGATACTCACTCTGAGGTTGTGTATTACATTGTATCATGTATGAACCACTGCACAATTTTCAAGAAAAGGTGAACTTATACTTTATTAAGTCCTTGGTCATGTCCACTACAGGCCTTAGGCCTCATGGCATCACCTTCACCCAGAGGGGACAGTACTTCTGCTGTAGTCTTCTCCCAGTACACAGCTCCAGAACAGCTCCTATTACCACCTTATAACAGTGCCAGGCTACTGAGGAGCACATGGTTATAGAGGACGTGATCCCACCTTAAAGATGAACACCTTCCTATCTATGGAAGAGGAGAAGAGTCAGGACTCTGTGAAGGAGTGGGTCTACAATCAGGTGAATGTGTGAGGAGAACCATGGAGAGTGTGTAGTATTGAGGGTGTAGAGGAGCAGCTGGAGGCCACATAAATGGAAGTAAAACATAGGCCGCAGGAAGACAGTGCAATAGAGATACATTAACAATAAACAATGTTATTCTAGCATGCAAGCATCTTTTTCATCTCAGAATAGTTTAATTATTTCAGATAAAAGGAAAGAAATCCATACCATAATGTTCTCAATAAAAACGTGTAGAAACAGAGACCTTATGCTGCACAACGTATTTTGAAAATACCATAAACTCTATGTGTAGCAACATCTGTTTGTTTTTTTTCTTAATCCTTACCAATTAAAACATCTAAACAAGGAAATGTTACTTGCAGTAATCTAATAACCGTACTAATCAAAACGTGCTAAACGAATAAGCCGAGCTTTGTAGGAAAACATTCAGAAAATGGGGTGAAATTGCAGCATAATTACATTTTATTTTATCCCACAAAGGCACTCTAACTGTAAGGCAAACTGCATTTTTCTGCCATTTGTTTGTATTCTTATCGGCAGGAGTTGGAAATTAACAGCGTTGCTAGTTTGCGTTTACTGTTAAGCCTGGAGAGCGAGAGATTGCTTTGCAAACAGCACAGTTATTATGTCTGCAGTTGGTACTCTTTGTATAAATTATTGATCAGCTGGCTTATTGCTCTTTCTGCTTAATGGATACAAATATCTGCTTGAGCAACTTTTATTACCTGTTGATAGATGAATTAAGACATGTTGTACTAGAAACGAGCAATGATGGCAAAGTACAATTAAATAATAGCGCAATGTTTGCCATCATTAATAAAGATAATGTAGTTTATGAACAGGACTTGGTTACAATTTTTGTGTATTTAGTACAGTTTATGATTTGCCTAGTGCCTGTATACAGTATATTACATGGACTGTTTCTGGGCGAACAGTTCAGTTTAACCCACTGACCACCAGAGAGGACCATTGTTGTGAATTATCAGTTATTGTATGTGTGTTTAGCACATTGTGTGATTAGCGTATTGTCGAGATGAGTGTGCCAGCACTGGCAGCAGCAATGTAAAACAACTGATGTTTTATGCAGCATACTGAAGTAGGCACTTTTATACGTCCTCTCTGTTTTAGGCTTTCAGAGCAGCCACCTGCTGGGAGAAAGCTGTACAATAAAGATCCAGCAATATTTAACACTAAACGGTCAGAAACCAGTGTTTGCTGGCAAAGCAATCAGTGACCTCATGTAATACTTCATCAATTAACCCAACAAATGTTTCTCAAGTGACCATGGCAGATTACTTCTTAGATGATTGCTATTATTGCCATCCTAGTGGAAGATTACATTCTCTTTATAGGAACATAGAAAGTATTTTAACTATTGATGGGCATATATGAGTAGATCTGTGCATGTAATAGATCAACATGATAGTTCATAATGATTTTCCTACATTACTCAGATGTGGGTTCCTTGTGAACCCTAAATGGCACCCTTTAAAAGTGAATGATTGCTAACTGATCTAAGATTGTTCAGTATACTGTAGCTATTACAGGGACATTTAAAGCTGAATTTCAGGTATGGATTTTATACCATAGTGATATGTCTCCAGCTGGGACCAATGTAAGTATGTAAGACTGCTATGAAAGTGGAAAAACAGGAGTAGTCAAGGCTACTACAGTGATCACCGCTGTCTTTAAGGTTCTGTGCCAAGCAGCTTCCATGCTGCATAGTAACCACAGGGCATCACTAGTTCAGCATGGGCGTCATTCACAGAAAGTCTTGCATTTTTCAATCATCTAATCTGAGCATGTTTTGCATTAATTGAGAATGATGCAAGGTGTTTTTTTTAATGTTGCCCATGCTGAGCAAGCAACCCCCTGTGGTTACTATGCAGTAGGGCAGTCATTTGGCATTGGACCCAGAAGACCGTGGCGATCACTGTGGTAGAGGCAACTACAGCAGTGATTCTCCACTTTCACAGTAATTCCACAGATATGGAATATGCATACTTACTTTGACCTAAGCTGGAAAATGTAACTATGCAATAAAATCCATACATGAAATTCAGCTTTTTTCAATGCAGGGCCTTGACTATCGGATAAATTCTGACAATTTAATTAATGATACATTCTCTTATCTTTTCTTCCTCTCTTTCTGCATACTTTCTTGTTTGGATCTAGATGCTTCAACGAACTGTCCTGTTTGCAGTTTGAAAAAAATAATTTTTAATGCATGTCCTATTAACTGCATCTACCTGGCTAAAAATCTCCAGTATGTAGAAGTGGTCTTTTTGAGACTGAAATGTATAATATGCAGTTCTGACACCTGTAAAAACAAGAGTGTCTGCCTCTGCTGCTATAACAAAATGGCGCACCTCAACTACAATTAGCCCTTATTGGGAGAGACATGTCAGAGGGGTTCTCCCATGGGTAGGAGATAGAGCTGAAGCCATGTTTTACTAAGAGGAGTTCACTATATGGTGAGGTAGTGTGAAGATGGGTGCCATTTTGTTGTACTCATTCATGTGTCTGACGAACCTATAATCAACCCAACCAACACCTGCAAACATTGTGGCCAGTTAGCTGGGATAACAGATTAGGGAATTTGAGTGGTATCAGTTTTGTTCGGTGTAACGGAACCGACCATGACTGCACTAGGGTATTTCCGTTAGACTCCCGCTTCCCTGTCCGAACACAAACCTCAGACACCACTCGAAGTAAAACCAGGAAATAGACTACTTTATTTTAACACAGAGACAGGATATATACACAGGGCCGGGCAATACACATCCAGTAACAAGAAACACATCAGCGGGCAGTCCCATCAGGGGAAAGGGCTGCCGGAAACACCCCCACAAGCCAATATACAAACACATATATCCCATAATAGTTTTCTCCCAAGCAAGACACACAATAGAACAATGGGATACAACCACATGGCATTAAATGATGAAAAACCCCCACCTATACATGTCTACACAATATCAGGACATTTCACCCTGCACCCCTAACAGGCACAGAGTGACTTACACATAAGTTACACATAAGAGGGATATGGGGAGCTGAGACAGGGGTCTCCCAACCTCTTCAAAGTGAGCTAGGTTCCATGGGCCCCCCACCCAATGTGACTCCCGTCACATATGGTTTTTTGCTCTGCTGTTACCCACTGTGGAATATTATTCCTTTTCTGCAAAATAGTACAGGGAAAATTGGGATAGCATTCATGTTAAGCCACTGGAAGACACACAATTGTAAGATTATTTAATACACCAACATCCAGTAGAAATAAAACGATAAATTGTGGGCGGCCTGATCTTTTAAAGTGTATCAAAAGACAAAACTTTTTTTTATTGGTGTATATAAATAAGGGAAGGGGTAGAATTGTCTGTCAGGTTTTTACTGTTATTGGTGTCCCTGCTGGGTAGACCCCTATTTGTACTGGAAACCATTGTAACAAGGGCTGAAAGTGCTAGAATGTTCAAAAGTTTGAGTTGTCACTGAAATTGGAATAGAGAGGTAATCTTCCAATGGGACACTTGTTCTGGTGACCGCAGTTGAAGAGAGGACTTCACTCACGTTCAATAAATGTCACCTAGCTTCCAGCAGTATTAAAGGGAAGATTCCCTGGTGTAAATTAAATGCTAACAAATGACTTGACTGTTGTGCATTCTGTCTTAGTAAAGCTGGTGATACAGTCTGAAGGCTGAACGATAACAAGTCTTCCAGATTCCTCCATCAATGCCACACAACAAAAATGGACAAATCTCCCGACGAGGCTATTTTATTCTGAAAAGATGGATTCATCAACTGTCAGTAAGTGCACAGATTTTTCGTTATGCAGGTTAGGCAGGACAGGGAGGAGGGGGGAGGGACAGAGACAAAGAGGGTGCAGCTGGCTGCCGTGGACAAGTCCTGCACCGAGGACTGTTACCTTCACCACTGGAGAGCTGGAGCATAGAGTTGAGGTTGGCTACTTACTACCGCTGCCGCACAAGGCCCATCCTAAGACTTCTGCTGTGCCACAGGAGTAATCATCCGTCCAATTACCACAGGCAGCCATTTAGAATCTACAGCATCTTAAAGGGGACCCCCTCCATCAGAAGAAAGTCAGCTCTACAGATACAAAAGAGATGGTGAAAGGATCATTGACCTGTTAATTACCTATTTCTAACTTTGTGCATATCCATTGGGAATACTTATTACTCTAAACCTCTACTGTTGCTCTTCATCTGCTTGCTATTTAACACCCCTGTTGGCCACAGTATACATCCAGGGGTGGACTGACCATTTGGAAACTCGGGCACTGCCCGAGGGCCCGGGATCAGTAAGGGGCCCCATGAGATGCCCCTGGTACCTTTTTCATAGGCTTTTTTGAGTTTGGGCAAGGACACAGGGGCCCCATGACCCCTATTGCCCGGGGACCCCATGAGTTGTCAGTCCGCCCCTGGCTACATCTTTACACGTTCCAATGTTTTCAAGGGCCCCAATGTTTCCATCCGAAGACTAATTTTAAAGACTTTACATCGTTACTGAAAGGTTAAACACAGTTTTCATCGGATTGACAATCCTCTTGCACAAAGACCTAGGCTTAGCTTTCTTAGCTCATATAGTAACAAGAGCTGCAGTTTAAGCTGGTCTGATTTGAGTTTGCTGTGTAATTTAAAGTGACTCCTCAGCGTATTGTTCATTTTGATATTTCCACTGCCATATCTTGTTTACCTTATAACCACTCAACAATATGTTTGTTATCTTGCTACAAGGTCTTGAGTCTCATTTCAGGGTGATCCCTGGTATTAACAGAAATAACTAATTTTTCTCTACTAACGTTGAGAAAAGTTAGTTAACCATTGTCAGAATTATATAAAGAAAATAATAATAGTTGTCCAAGGCCAGCCATACACACCTATTGTCCATTAGATGGAACCTATTTATGATACCTAGGCTTTCTCACTTTGATTGCTAGCATTAAATCAAAGTTTGATTTGAGAGATTCACCTATGAACTGCTAGTTTGCTGAACACAATCTTCAGAGATGTGCCATCCATTTTGTTATCTTTTACAATTGATGGATTGTAATTGTATATAATAAACGTTTGTTATTACTCATGCATACCAAGTGCTATCAATGTATGGACCTAATAGACTGTGTGGAAGATAGGCAACAGTTGTCTAGTCTATCATGCAGCTAGTTTTAAAAAAAAATGAAGCTCAGATTTGTAGGGTTAAATTAGTTAATGCTATACTAAACAACACAGTCACAGTCACTTACAAGAATCTAGCTTGTCAATGAAGCAAGGAGCACGGCTACATTATCTAATAATTAATGTCACAGAAACAATAAAACGCTGGACTCTATTACTCTGATTTGCTCTTTGATTTGTTTACAGAGTTTGACTTTTATGCTATTTTTTACTCTGGATTACTTGTGCACTGTTTTAGTAATTTCACTGCAGGAAATGTGGAGTATTATCCTTTAATTACAAGTTTTTAAGGATGGAAGCTGTCAAACACTTTAGGTTTTAGTTAAGTGCAAAGATTGTCCTAATTTTGTTTATTTTATTTGAAAAAAGTGTTTTGCATGAACCTAATAAATTAACTGCTTATACAATGACTGTGAGCCTGATTTACTAAAGAGAATAAAGAAAAGCAGGTATGTATAACTACAGTATGCTTGCACTGCTGGCGGCATGGGCATGCAGACATACAAGCTGATAATGAACACATTGCCTGACCTTAGCAAATCATACATTGATGTGCAATGCATACAGTGCTGTCCTAGATTGCAATGAGCACTGAATATCTAAATAATGCTGCTTACGTGCTTTCTGTTCTGATTAGGCTCACAAAAGAATGTGTATGTGTCAACATTTTACTTGAAAATAAAAAATTAATATATATGGTGACCAGATTGCTGAGTAGTAAAACACACATATGCCAAGCAATGCCAGGTAAAAGAATCTGCAGGACATGCTGTCAGAGCAAAAAAGTAGCGTATGTATGGATGTTTATTATTGGAAACTTGTTCAGAGGCAGCAATAAATGAAATTGTGTACAGGCATCAGCATGCATATCTGCGCAATGCGATACTTTCATTGCATCATGCACTATGACTTTTTTACGCTCACCCTTTTTTTTACATATTGTATATCAGTACTCATTTCATGCAGTTTTCCCCTATGTAATAGATACATGTAAATCCCCAACCACAGTCAAATAGACCCCAAAACCTCAATCACATTTTTATTTAGACAGTCCAGTTGCCTGGTCCCCCACTATGCTTAGATGTATGTATCCTTCCTCTGTCCCCTATAGTATGTGCAGGACACAGTAATGACAGAGGGTCAGTGAATAGAACCAGAGACTGTAGAGTTGGACCAGGCAACTGACACACCAGGAGTGTTTAACATGCTGGGAATCCTTCAAGTAGAACTATAGGCAAAACTTTTTTTTTTCATTTTGGATAGCGTAAGGGAGTGTTATAACCCCGGTCATATTCTTTTTCGCTATCTTTGCTTCATTGCGGAGTATTCCCTTCTTGTCCCATAGCCAAACGGGAAGTGAAAGGAAATCTCTGCAAATTCAGGGGACCCCAGGTCACCAGAACTAGTGACCCCATTGGAAGATTTCTCTTCTATTACTTTTCTGGAAACTACCCAAAATTTGGGATTTTCTTTTATTTTCACTTTCAATGATAATGGTAAACAGGACAAATATAGAAGGTAAAATTCCTTAATGGGGATAGACAGCAAAAAAAACCTCTGAAACCACTAAGCAACTTATTCACTCCCTGGTTATCTCTCGCCTTGACTATTGTAACTCCCTCCTCACTGGCCTACCTAATTGCAGGCTATCCCTTCTTCAGTCTATCATGAATGCTGCTGCCAGACTCATCCACCTTACTAACCGTTCCCTATCTGCCTTCCCTCTCTGCCAGTCCCTCCACTGGCTTCCTGTTGCCCCACAAATAAAATTCAAAACATTAACAATAACATATTAAACCATTTGTAACTCTGCCCCAAATTACATCACCAATATTGTCTCCAAATATCACACAAACCGTCCTCTCTGCTCCTTGCATGACCTCCTGCTCTCTAGCTCCCTTGTCTCCTTCTCCCATGCTCATCTCCAGGCCTTCTCCAGAGCCTCCCCCTTCCTCTGGATTTCTCTACCCCAATCTATCCGACTACCACCTACTCTGCCCACTTTTAGGCGATCTGTGAAAACCTATCTCTTCAGGGAAGCCTTTCCCACATTCAGCTAATAACGGAAACTTCTATTCCTCCTATCAGTTTATCCCGCACAGTTATTACCATTTGTACCACCAGCCCCTCTCTCTTATATTGTAAGCTCCAAGGAGCAGGGCCCTCCTAACCCTCTTGTATTGAACTGTATTGTCTCCCTTTGTATTGTAAAATGCTGAGCAAACTGTTGGCACTATATAAATCCTGTATAATAATAATAATAATAATAATAAAAAAAACCTGACAGGGGTTCTAATCCCTCTCCACTCAATCCAAAACTAAAAGAAAGTTTTGCCTTTAGTTATACTTTCATTTACAGTAGAACTACAAGAGAGTGGCATTCAGTTGGTGAGATAGGTCGCAGCACAGAATGGGGTTTATTTACTAAAGCTAGTTAACTCAGAATCTCGTGCACTTCCGCATGGAAACCAATCAGCTTGTAGGTTTTATTGCTAAAGCTTAACTGAACAAACCACTGGCCACTTGGCCACTGGATCACTTTCACCCTGTTCTTCTTCAGAATGCAACAGTAGACTTAGATGTGTGTTTTGGATCATTGTCATGTTGGAAAATTGCATGATGAAGGGAATGGAGTGATGGTAGCATATTCTCTTTCAATATAGAGCAGTATATCTGTGGATTCATGATACCATCAATGAAATACAGCTCCCTGACACCAGCAGCACTCATGCAGCCCCACAGAAGGACATTGCCACCACCATCTTTCACTGTAGGCACCATTCATTTTTCTTTGTAATCCTCAAATTTGCAATGCCATACAGTTTTAAAGCCATCAGTTCATGCGCTCTGGCAAATGATGGACAGGCTTTTTGTGCATGGGCTTTAGGATAGGCTTCCTTCATGGACAACACCCATGCATGCCAATCCTCTGCAGTGTACGCCGTATTCTGTCATGGGAAACAATCATCCTAGTTTGGCTTTCTACTTCTTTAGCAAATTGCAGTAAACTTGCATGGTGATTTTCTTCAACCCTTCCCAACAGAAGATGCTCCTGTCAAGGTGTTAACGTCCGTGGATGGTCTGGATGTCTCTGTGAGATAGTTGCAGTTCCATCTTTTTTACATTTTTGTATTTCTTTTGCTACAGTATTATAACTGATAAGTACAGATTTGCTGATCTTCTTTTAGCCTTCACCTTTCTTGTGTGAAGAAATTATTTCTTTCTCAGGCCTTGTGACATTTCTCTTCCATGTGGTGTCATTGCTGACAGCATGAAATGGGAGGTTTTCTTTGTTAAGTAATGCTTTTTTATATTCAACTGTCTGCTGGACACCTGTTTAATGAATAATTAGACTCACCTGTAGCTGAATTGTTGTTAGTTAGGATTTTGTTGTCTAAAATTTAGCTTTGCTCCTAAGAATTTCATTGGGGTGCATTCATTTTTGCAACATGGTCTTGAATGAATTTGTTAGGAAAAATACTTTTTTGTGCGTGCAAATTAACAAATCTTGTTTGCAATCAATGGCCTGCATTTGGGGGAGTATTTTGTAGTATAGTGTCCCATAGAAAATGTTGACTCTGAAAGAAAAGTAAAGGTTTTATGACAAATCTGTTGGGGTGTACTCATTTCTCATTTATGCTGAGCACTATATATATATATATATATATATATATATATATATATATGTACACACACACACACAATGTATATACATTTTATACATATATATATATATATATATATATATATATATATATTACAAGTGTAAATGTAATGTACACAACACATGTAACATGACTAACAGTTTACATTATGCTCATATAGCTCTAGTAAGGAACAGAATATCATTTATATAGACTTCACATTTTCTCATTTATCAGGCCCTCGTTTATCATCTAAGGAAAATCAATAACGGGTGTAAATAAGATGCTGTCTTTCCATCATGCACACATGGCATCGTCTGAATCCTGTTTATCTCATAAAGTTTATTATAGTAACACCAGTTTCCATGATCC